CACCAATTATGTCCGCATCTTGGGGTCTCACTGTATTTATTCCGCATACTACGCAGTGACTAAAAGATGCGGCCTATATATATTCAAGATGATTTCCAAGAAAGAATATCTAGTAAAACAAAACTTACAATAATGAAGAAACAATCGCTATTGAAATTCTCCCACAGCAATTCTGGTACTTTTTTCATCCAAAGTCGAGTAAATAAATGTAGACCAAAATTCGTGAATCACCTTATATAATCGTTCAGGACCTAATGCAATTACTTTTTCATGACTAAATGTTCCCTCTTCAGTCACATTTTTCCTTTCAAAATTTGTAATTTTTAATACGTGGCCTATATATATGCATATCGTACTGCAGGCCGCAGCACTCTAAAATACCTGCCCAAAATCGGGGTGCGGCCTATTTATGCTCGAGATCAAGGATAGACAGGAATACTGTAGCTGTAATGCGTACTTGAACATGGAATGGAAAGACATAAATTCGGTAAAAACAAAATAAGGTAGACAAAATCTTTTGAATAAAAACGAACTTTAAAAATTTTCTCGCCAAAAATTCCTTATTGGTTTTTCCTTGTATTTTTACACTACCATTTGAACAACCGCAGGTAGTTACAGAATACTATAATTTCTATGACAAATTTCTTTGATGAATAATGGACGCAATAACTGTTATACCGCATAGAAAGTATCGTAGAGAAAGCGTCATTGACATCGGCATTTTTTTTTTAGATCACAATTTTTTTCAAGCATGTATAAGTAAAATCTCTTGATAGTCTGGATAAAAGGGAGATCCCGAATACGCAAGTTTAATTCGAAGCAATATTCCCAGCAGTCATTAGTACTGNGAGAAAGCGTCATTGACATCGGCATTTTTTTTTTAGATCACAATTTTTTTCAAGCATGTATAAGTAAAATCTCTTGATAGTCTGGATAAAAGGGAGATCCCGAATACGCAAGTTTAATTCGAAGCAATATTCCCAGCAGTCATTAGTACTGAAAATCTCATTATAACAAATTAATTATTATAAATATGTTTTCCGAAGTCCCCACGAGTTTTTTGCGAAGCGATTTTACTGCTGTAAAAAGTCTGAGTGAAACAGTAGCCGCATTATTTTCCAGTCCAAGTTTGCAAATGTTCTATGCGACCAAGCATTGCCAATTAATTTTTTCCTTGAGAGGCTATTCAAAATTAGCTAAAATACTACTTTGCAGAACGTTATGTGTGGTCCGATGTATAAGTAATCAATTTAGTGTCGGCACAAAAAAAAAAACAGGAAAAAATAAAAAATAAAAAACCTCGGCGTAGGACGGCTTTATCAAGGGTTTCGCCGTCAGGCCCCACTGTGTTGCAGTTCCACATCCAGTTGCCAGCAGTGTTTTCATTTTTCTTTCGCATTGTTTCAGCCTGATCAGCAGCTATCAGTGGGACTGGTGATACTTTTTCTTCCTCGCCTGCTGTGCTGTAGTCTGACGTGGACTCCAAGATTCCGCTGTGGAGGAACTGGTACCCTCTGCTTGTCCATCCTCTAAAGCTATCGGCGTATAAGCTGTGAAATATTTTTTTTTAATAACGGAAAGAACTTACGAAGGATCAAAACCGTAACTGAGAGTACAGAAATTTGGGGGAATTTTCCATCACCAGATCAATTGCAACAATTCAATACGCGACGGAGCATAAATATTTTGGGAGATGAAAAAAATTGTGTATTTGTGGGGATTATAGGTGGACTCTCTCTCTATACAAGGAAACTCAAGGGACAAAAAAATCGTAGTTCACAGAGAAAATAGTTTTAGAAAAGATCGTTGTATATAGAGAGTCCACCTGTATTTGTTTCTGCAGAAATATAAATTATTCAAATAACTTTGTTATTTAAGTGAGGAATTATTGGTAGCTGCTCTTATTGCCCAACCCTCAAAAAGCTCTCAGCGCATAAGCTGTGAAATTTTTTTTTAATAACGTGATTAATTTACGAAGGATCAAAACGGTAACTGAGAATACAGAGATTTGGAGGAATTTTTCATCACGAGATTAATTGCAAAAAATTAAATACCCGACGGAGCATAAATATTTTGGGAGATTTAAAAAAAAAGGTATTTGTGGGGATTACAGGTGGACTCTCTCTCCATACAAGGAAACTCACGGGACCAAAAAAATATTCGTAGTACACAGAAAAAAAATAGTTTTAGAAAATATCGTTGTATAGAGAGAGAGAGAGTCTACCTGTATTTGTTTCAGCAGAAATACAGTATTCGAATGGCTTTGTTATAAGTGAGGAATTATTGGTAGCTGCTCTTATTGCCCAACCCTCAAAAAGCTCTCAGCGCATAATAAGCTGTGAGAATTTTTTAAATTACGGGATTGATTACAAAAAATCAAATATGCACCTTCAGAATAAATTTTTGGGCCATTTTTAAAAATATTTGTTGGAATTAAGTACAGTACAGGTGGTGCCCCGCAATTTGACCCTAATCCATTGGTGGACTGGGTTCAAATTACAAAGCAGTCAAATTGTGCAACAACATCAAATGCAATGTTTTCTAAATTGTATTTGACGTTTTTGCTCATCTCTTTCGGTTGAATTGTGGGGCATAGTTGACCTCCCAGCAAATTCGACCATTGAATTGCGGGAGGTAAAATTTCAAGGTACCAGCACCTCTATTTGTTTCTTAGCTCAGAAATAAAATCATTTCAAGGATTTTTGATTAATGGAGGAACTAATGGTAGCCCTTCCTACATTCCACCCCTCTAAAGCTATCTGTTTACATAAGCTGTAAACAATTTTAAATCCTTGGACAGTTGAGGGTTCCATGCTGGCCATCCTGCCACAAACTTGGGAGTGTTTTTTCGGGGGGGGGGGGGGGGGGCATTGTGTTTAGTTTGCCCAAAGGTCACTGAAAGGGGCCCAAGGTGGGGAGGGCCAAGGGTGTGGGGGGGGGGGGGGGGGGGGGGGGGGCATTGTATTCAGTTTGACCAAAGGTCACTGAAAGGGGCCCAAGTTGGGAAGGTCCAAGCCAGAAAAAATCTGGGTACCAAGGATTCATCCTTCCCAAATTTTTTCTGACTTAGACCTTCCCAACATGATTTTCACAACTTTTTTTTTTTTTCAAAAATCTCAGAAATGCTAATCCTATGCAAGGAATTCTTGAAAAACGCCACACTGCAGCGAGGATTTTTTTTGGGCAAATTTTTCTGCAAGTTTACAAAAAAGTATTGGATTTTTCCCCAACTCAGGCCGTTATTGGTACAAATTTTTTTTTCAGTGCTCATGGGCACAAAAGTTTGCAAAAATATCCCAACTTTGCTGCACAAGGGTTAATGAGACATTAATTTTGAAAAGTTAAAGGGATTTTAAAAAATGTTTTGGAATTATACTGTAGTTACTTCTTTCTACTTTTTGGACGAAAAATAGACTCACATGAGGTTCGTGTATCCCAAGGAACGCAGTAATACAATCGCATTCAAAGCACGTCTCCCGCTTCTGCACATAATGACCACGTCATCTCCGGGTGGCGGAGGTCGTTTGAATCCGTACTTGGCGACGAATTCCTCTTCTGGCAACTTGAATGCTTCGAAAATTTCCGGCACTGACAAAAAGAAAGAGACATATTATTATGCACAGAACAAACAGCATCGAGTGTCAGTGAAACAAAGATGAATTGGAAAGTGTCAGCTGAAGTATCCGTACAAGGCACGTTGTGGCTCTTGGGCACTTTTCCGTCTGCCACGATCTCTGTTTCGTTCCGAACATCGATCAACGTCAGGGCGTCAGCGTCGAGCCCTTTTTTCAGATCCTCTGACGTTATTACTGGCACTGGAAAAAAAGTCAGGTATGATATAATCACAACAGGAAAAAAACCCAGCATACTCGCGGATTTTTGAATAATTTTCGGAACACCGTGATTTTGGGAATGAGTTTCTCGAAGAAAAGATCAAATAATAATTTATATTTCAACAACGATTTCAAAATCACATCAACAGGATGGGAGCCCGATCTGGCAAACTACTTTCAAAAAATAATAATTTTATTTTTGCATTTTTGTTTAGCAGCAATTGAAAAGAAAATTGCACCTTAAACAGATGCTTAATCGTCTCAATTCTTGTTTTTCCCCTGATGTGGTTTTGAGGACTCTTATACTCAAAAGCTTGGAAAAACTGAATATTAGGCCGTTACAAAAAGATGACTTATTGTTCAGTATTCCAAGAACATTGATGACGCCTGTAGAAAAGGATTCGTCATTTATGGCTGCATGAAATCATGTGGAATTAAAAAAATATATTTTCCGGTGCTACAAATTTATCTTGATGGGAATTTAATGCTGGGCAGAAATTATTAGTTAATGTACAAACTCTATCTACGAAGAGTCCGCTTATCTGTGTAAATCTTAGAAAATCCGAGCAGCCTAAGAAAAAACCCGACTTTGCTTTGGTATCAAACCACGTTCATCCTACGATAAACCGAAATTGCTTGAGAATTATTGGTAAGCAGTAGTTTACCCGTTAACATGCAATTATAATATTGCATATGTTGGATTGCAACTCGATTTTGCTTTTTTATAGCAAAATCTTGATTATTTT